TTTTGGGCGGAGCAGTACTTGCGCTTGAATTGCACCAAGAACTCTGCCCAAGTCAGTTGCAGTGGATCATTAGGGCTTAGGGTTTTCCCCAAAGTATTCCACCAACGAGCAGCGCTACCTCTGAATTGACGCACTGCAAATGTGGTTTGTAACTTGCCTTGACAACCACATGTCATGAAAGCCAATTCCATTTCCGAGATCCAATCCATTACTCCGACGGGATCTTCTTTTCCAGTGAAAGTTGATGGCATGCAAGTCATAAAGTCTTTATACTTGCATCCATTTCTCTCCACTCTATCCTCGTGGTTATTTCTCCTAACCACAAGCGGTTCAGTTTGACCAACAGATCTACTATTGTTTCCTTCTTCAGATCGATCGTCATTTAATTCAGGTTGTTCAACAGGAATTGAAGGTTCACTCCTGTTGTTCAACAATATTTGCCTCATTTCCTCCCTTTGTTCAGCCATCATTGTCTGAATCATGGCTTGTACTCCAGCCACGGTGATGGGTTTTGGTGCAGCTCCTGCTATAGGCACCTGTTCCATCACTTGGGGTTGAGATTGCTGATTTCTATTTACATTTCCAGCTCCACTTCGGTTTCTTTCCATTATGATCTATACGCCAAATTAGGTGAATTTAAACCTTTATCCACGACAGGTATTTAAATTCTCCTTATCACTCCGAAACGTTACATGTTAGTTCTAATATCGTAATCGTACGCTTAGAAACCTACACACATAAAGTTTCCAGATCCGGTCGGCAACAGACCATAGATCCCAACAAATAATATCATATATGACAAACATATAACATTTAGCACTTAAAAGCATTTTAGGCATCTTTCCTAAAATATACTAGTGCTCGTGTCTAAAATATGGTAGACACTCATCCCACAATCATCACTTAGCATTCTAAGTTTAAGTCTAGAAATCCTACAAATTCCTAGTTCGCTTAAACTAATGCTCTGATACCAACTGTGACGTCCCCAATTTCACGGCCAGAAAAGACCGATTTCGTTTATGCTTTTTAAAATAAAATCAGAGTAATCCATTTAAAAGATGTTGCAGAATTTGTTTCCAAAACAAAACATCATAAAACGTTTATCAAAACTTTTCTTTAAGAAATATATATTTTCATTTTATATCAAAACCTCGGGATGTCATGTTCTGATACAGATCAAAAGCATAAACAAGACATTATAAGCCTTACAACGGTTATTTACAACTACTGGCCTATAATCCAAAAACTCTCTCATCATCATCCGACTACGCTCGGGGTCCACTACCTGTAAGATAAAAAGGCTGAGTGGGTCAGGCTTGGGAACCCGGTGAGCATATAGGGTTTTCAACCCACAATAAATAATAAACTTTTTAAGTTCATCAATCAACAAATAATTTATTAATTTCATCACCCAAAATAACCCTAATTACCCATTCCCGTTATCCTCACCTTACGTCCCTAAAACAACTATCACTAGGGACCTAGCCTAAGGATTTTCATTAGGGGGACAACATTGCTTCGGGGGTTCCTCAGCAATTTATGTCAAATAAGGCAACCATCGGGGTGACAACACTGCTTTCCTCAGCAATTTATGTCAAATAAGAAAACCAATGGGGTGACAACATTTCTTTCCTCAACAATTTATGTCAAACAAGACAACCAATAAGGTGACAACATTGCTTTCCTCAGCAATTTATGTCAAACAAGACAACCTGACATAAAACAACCAATAAGGTGACAACATTGCTTTCCTCAGCAATTTATGTCAAATAAAACAACCAATGTGGTGACAACACTGCGTTCCTCAGCAATTTATGTCAAGTAAAACAAACATCGGGGTGACAACATTGCTTTCCCTCAGCAATTTATGTCAAATAGGCACGAAGTCACGTCGTCGCCAAGGTTTATACAACAGGCACTAAGTCCATAGCTGCCAACGTAGTAAATCCATAGCTACCAACGTACATCTATACTGTACTAAATTCATAGCTACCAACATACATCTATACTGTACTTTTATCCCTCATTCTTTATCTACCCATGTTTTACCCAACATATTTGAAGATAAAATATATATACATTTTAAATCATTCTAAACATGTATAAAACATTCATTCAACATCCATCTCAAATAAACAAACAACATATATACACATAGCACGTATTTTATATAAAATACTTTATATCTATGTGTAAGATGAAAGTAACTATACACTCACTTGATTTAACGATAATCGGGCAGCACTTCGTTTCCTAAAACAATCGTTCCTAATAAAACTGGGAGTTTTATTGAGAAACCGGGCTCTGCGAGGGTTGGGCTTGAAAACCGAAAAGATAAATTTTTTCGGGCTTCTCGGTAACTTCGGGAGGTGTTTCGGGTGCTAAAATTGATACCGGGGCTTCGGGGGATGTCAAAATAGTGAAAATATTGAAAAAGGGGTGTAAAATGGCAATTTCTCAAAATTACCCGAGAAGGCTCGCAGGCCTTGTATTTATAGGGGTGAAGTCCGAAGATCAGCGGCTGAGAGGACTCCACGCGTCAGCAGATGCGAGGCTCGGATGCGAGAAGGGTGAGTCAGCGAAGGCAGGTGGCAGCGAGGGAGGGGCGCGCGTCGGAAGCTCGGAGGCGAGACGTGGCTCGCTTCAGACACGCCACGTTTGCGACACGCGTCGGATTTCTACCGGACCACTTCGGACTCGTCATCAGCATCAGACACGGGGCAGGTGACTCACCGAGATCGGACTTATCCATGCGAAATTTCTCGGATATTGGGATTTTTCTCGATTTTTGTGCCCCAAACTTCTAAAATCCATAACTTTCGCATACGGGCTCCGTTTTTTACTTTCTTTATATGCACGCGTAGGTAAAGTAACGCTCTACAACTATCGTTTAGACTTCGTCGGCTATTTTTGAATTTAATTTTAATATTATTACAGACCGGGACAGGAAATCCGTTAAAAATTCATAACTTCTTCATCCGACGTCCGTTTTCGTCTGTCTTTTTACCGTTGTACTACTATTGACGAGACCTTCGATTTTTCGTTTAGGTTGTGTAGGCTAAAAATCACTCGATCTAAAATTCGAGTTTTTAGCTGTCTACTACTAATCTGAAACTTAGAAAAATCATAACTTCCTCATACAAAGTCAGATTTGGATGTTCTTTTCATACATACTCTCGGTTTAACGAACACTACGACTTTCGTTTAGATCACTAAGGCTAAAAAGTAGTTTATCAAAAACTCACTTTTTACGTCATTCGACACCGTGCCGGTTTTGTCGCGAAACTTCGATAGGTCATAACTTCTTCGTTATAACTCGAATTTCGGTATTCTTTATATATCCGGAATCCTTGTCACGACCACTACAACTTTCTTAATAGATATCGGCTTTATCTAATATTTATTTTGGACGCTCATTTTTATTCTTAATTAATTAAATCCTAATAATTAAGCATAAAACACATAATTCACATAATAATCACATAATTCCTCTTCATTTCTTCAAAATGAGTTACAAAGGTTAACCTAGACTATTATGTCAATATTAATGCCTAGCCTAGAAACACGGGCGTTACAGAACCTCCCGCTCCATGACGTGTCACCACTATTCTGAAACAGAACACATAATCGTCAGGGTCATACATAACCTCGAGAGGTCTCACACACTCTAAAAGTTCTCTGGTTCTATCTCAGCCCTCCTTGACTCGAGTACGGATCCTCTGCTTTCAGTAGTACAGACCGATACTACCTTCCACATCTATCCGTACTTTCCTCAAAAATTTCCTAGACTTCACCAAGTCCCTTTCACTACTACTACTCGTTGCACTAATCTCATCCTAGGCTTACCCTAGGGTAACCGCCAACCCACTTTCCACCATCAGATGCATAACAAGTCCCTGCTATCTCTCCCTAACTAGCTCGCGAATACCTTTACATATTACTCAGACTAGATAATTCTTCGAATGAGGGTTCCTACCTTACAACGGTTGGACTCAGACAAGAGCTGCGAAATAGGGCTAGACCTAACCTTCATAAATTATTTAGTCCTCGCAATATGTAACTTAACGTATTCGTTTAGTAGTTGATTAAAGATAAATAGGACTCCTAAAAGCACAAAGCAAGCAACATTCAGACATTAAGTAACCAAAACAAAGCATATCCTAATCAGGCTATCATATTACTGACTAATCAGTACTATCATGCAGCTCAATAAGCACATACATCAGGCATATCAGGCATCTTCCTAGATCCTTAGCCCTAATCTAGCATGTAGTTCTCATACACATACAATAGGCATATAAGGCATCCTTCCTAAATCCTTAGCCCTAATCTAGCATGCAGTTCTCATAATCATATCACTACAAAAAAAAAGACCCTGTTACGCCGCGCAAACAATGACACTCATTAATTTATGTTACGCAAAAGAGAGTGACATTAAAAAAGTGTCATCTCTTCAAAAAAAATATAAAGATTTATGTCACGCATTATTGTGTGCCCTTAAATTAGTGTCTCAAGAAAAGAAATTAAAAACACGGAGGGCGCTTTATTTTAAAGGCGCGTCCTCTATACCTGTCGCTTTATAATTTTAATGAAAACGCGCGTTTAGTAGAGGGGGGAAACGAAATCCCCAATATTTTGAAAACCTGTCTTCTACCTTCTTTCTATCATTCATCTTCTCCCCTCTCCCTCCTTCTCTCTCCTCTCCGATCCACTTCTACGCCACTCCTGACCTCCTTATCGGTCTCATCAAACATCGTGTCCCCTCCTTAATACCTTGCGGGAATCTAAAAATTAGAAAACCCTGTCCTCACAAAGTCTAAGAAACTAGGGTTTTTTTCATCCCTCAAAGAACGACCCACATCCTCCATAGATCGATCTCTATCGCTTCATTTCTCACAAGAAATCGAACACTTTACATTCATAGGGCCACAATTGCAAGGATCCTCACTCACATTTCTAGAGAATACCTTCTCATATATAACACGATCATCTTCACGAAAATGGCTGCCACCATTGCTTCAGTCGGCTCAAGCTACGATCGGCAATCGGAGCTCAAAGCTTTTGACCAAACAAAAATCGGCGTCAAAGGCCTCGTCGATGCCGGAATCTGGAAAATCCCTCCCATCTTCTTCCACCCACGGGAAACAACTCCCAAAATATCCACCGTTGCTATCAAGATTCCGGTCATGGACCTTCAATCGACCCATACAGCATCGATGCTGTCAAGATTCTGTTCTGATCTACCTTCATTTTCATTTTGATATTTCTCTTCTTCTTTCTACCGGTTGTATCTCTTCATTTTCATTCTGTTTTAAGAGGCACGTGACAACTCAGAGTACCTAATTTGATCAACAATTTGAAGTTGAACTTTGTGATAATTGTGTAGTGTTAATGTGTTATCTGGTTATTGCTATTGCCAATTCAATCAGCTCCAGTAACCTGTTCTGTGATTGTGTCCAGGTCAAATTCAGCCAAATCAAAACCGCAATTAAGCCTTTTGCTAGTTATATGATTTTCTTACCAGGGATCCAACATTTTGGAAGCTGACAACCTTAAGAATGGACTACTACCAAGAGTGGTGGATGAACTCTTTGATTCTATAAACTTTTGTGGTGAAGAAACTGCTTACAAGATCAAACTTTCAATGGTATAAGAAACCTCTTTTCATGATTCCATTTGAACTAGAATCTGATACATTGTTTTCAAGAGTCCTTTTCTAGATGCATTTTAATTATTGTATTATACACGCAGGTGGAAATTTATATGGAGAGAGTTAGGCTAGCTACTGATCTTATTTTTTGTGTCTTTCATCTCTACTCTTCAACTCTGTTTTATAATTTAAATTGGGGGTGTTTCTGGCAGGGACCTTTTTGATTTATCCAAGGACAACATACAGATTAAAGAGCATAAATCACATGGGATATTGTTGTCTGGAGTAACAGAAGTAAATTCAAATATTTGTCATATGGAATCTTCCAATTTGTTGCATTTCCCTATCAGCTTAAAAGATATTTAAACTTTCGTTCTACAGATCTCGACACTAGATGGAGAAGAAGCATTAAAAGTCTTATGTGTAAGATCAAAGTCTTACTATAAGTTTTCCTAATTCAAAAATACTCTTTAAGAAAACTAAATATTCAGTTATCTTTTACTTCTTAACATTGGTAATGACAAATGCAGGGTGGGATAGCTAACAGAGCTGTTGGAGAGACTCGTATTCCTCTATCTCTCTCTCTCTCTCTCTGTCATTTATGCTAGTTGTTTGATTGACTTGTCAACTCGTGTAGAGATTAATGCTGGAAGCAGTAGAAGTCATTGCATGTACATGTTTACTATTCGGAAAGAAGTAACAAATGAGAACAGGTGTTATAATTTCTTTGAGAATTTACAGTTTACTGAAATCATATTTACATTTCTGAAATTATTAACTGAATAGGGTGAGCAGTGGAAAGGTTGTTCTTGTGGATTTGGTAGGATATGTGAAGGTTGAGAAGACAGGTGCTGAAGGGAAAGTTCTAGAAGAAGCCAAATCCATTAACAAATCACTTTCTGCACGTGGAAATGTGATCAGTTCTTTGACTTAAAGTCCACATGCCAAATCATTACACATCCTTTTCGTGATTCCAAGCTCACTCGCCTCCTACAAGATGCTCTTGTTAGTACATGCAGGTGGAAATTTATATGGAGAGAGTAAGGTCAAAAGGGAAATGCTGATTTTTTAGGTCAATATGACTAATATTAAATTTAAAATTGCACCAGTTGTTTCATTTTCTAGAAAATAGTTTGATAACAAAGTTAAACCACCTCTATTGTTAGATTTTGGAATTTGTACATGGTGACAAAAGTGTGGCAGAATTGATGGATGTTGGGAGACAAGTTTTAGGAAGGTAAATTGTTATATATTACTCCACAAATAACTTGCTTCTTTTAACAATCAATCTGATATTTGGACACAACTAACAAGTCTTACATATATATTTTTTCATCAGGAGACAACTTCTTCCAACAGTTCCACACCTTTTGGATTCTGTCCAGGTCATTATTTCACATTTGATCTCAAGGCTTACTCTTGTATCACATAAGCACTAAAATCTGCTCTACTTCACTATCCGAGTAAATCAATTTGCATCAACTCTTTTTCTTTGATGCTTAAATTTTGATTAGGTAGAGGGAACCTTTCCTGATGGAACAAAGTTAATTACTGTACATGATCCAGTATCCTATGAAAATGGAAATCTTGAAATGGCTTTACATGGATCTTTTCTTCCAGGTCAACAATCTGTACTTTTCATCTTTACAGATCCATTTGACTTATCCGTCCTGCTAAATTTGATTGATATTTGCAGTTCCTTCACTTGAAAAGTTTCCAAATATAGAAAGTTGTAAGCTTCCTGGAGAACTAATCTTCAGACATGGATATACAATGCTTAATTCTGGAAGGGAGGCAGTAGTCCTTAAAGTAACTAACAATGGAGATAGACCAATACAGGTGGCTTCCTACTTTATTTTTCACATTTCAATATTTTTCTTAAATAATTACTTAAATAAATACTATTTTTACAGGTTGGAAGCCATTATCATTTTATCGAGGTCAATCCAAGTTTGATTTTTGATCGAAGAAAAGCATATGGCATGAGATTAAATATACTCGTAGGAACAGCTACCAGATTTGAGGTCAGATACTTAACCTGAAGGCACTATATTATATTTAAATTTTAAAAAAAATATATGCACTTAAGTTTACTTTTCCAGCCATGGGATGCAAAATCTCTCACCCTTGTAAAAATTGGTGGCATGCAAGTAATAAGAGGAGGTAATGCAATCGTAGACAGCCCTGTCACTGATTCCAATGTCAAAACTGTAATAGAATCAGCCCTGTCACTAGCTTACAAAATGGCATGTCAGACATATGCAAATTGAAGGACATTGCAATGATGAAATCCCAGAGCCTAAAAGAAAAAAGATAAACCCATTATATGTGCATGATCAAATAATAACTTAATTTGTTTTCGATGTTGCACAAGGGGATTACTTATTGTGGGGTTATTTTCACAAGTGCTAGTCTGAAATACATAAACAAACAGTCAGTAGTTAAAAAGGTTTAAAACTTAAGAAATACTAGGGGTTAATTATAATGGATTTTTACTTGTTTGTTTATCATATCATATGATTATTACATTTTCCTTTGTTGTTATTACAACACTAGACTCTAATATGACAAATCTATCAAAATATAAGCTGGTAATCTGAATGAAAAACAGTACTTTCCATGATTATATATAATTGGATTGATTTGTTAAAGTATTTTGTTGTAATAAAAATAAGATCCATATATCTAAATAAAAAACAATTTGCATTGTAATAAAAAGATGTCATGACCTGTTTGCAAGAGTCCCAACAACCAGACTTCCCTTGACCATCAAATCGTCCAGGTCCAGTTATAACAAGATTATTAATGTGTCGAAAGTTAAGCCAAGTATCGGTGTTATTAATCCACTTGTTCTTCGGTGGTGCTAGAAGAGTCCCTACGACCTGCAAACATGCATATAAAAAGATCCCATGAATTCTATTGTAACAAATTAATTTTATTTTCTTGGCAATGATATTCATTAATTAATTACACTTACTGTGACAACAACCGTTGGAGCTTTGCATGGACCCGTGAAAGACAATGGTTGAACAAGAAAGTTTCCATCAGGTAATTTAAATTGTCCAGTTGAACTACATGTTGCATCCCATGCCTTGTTAACTGCCTACAAGATCATGATATACGTACATTAAAATTTTTAAATTGTAAAATGCTTAAAAAAAGAAATGTCACGATTGCTATGTTAGCTGCCTATTTCCTGTTTCTGTCAATTTATAGAATATCCGTCAGTAATTCAAAAAGAAAATAGCTTGAAAACGGATTAGTCAACTGCTACTACTGAGTGTGAACTACAACCTAGCATAATGCATAATAGAGAATCTTATTCTGTTTGTCTCTTGCTAAACTATTAACCACTTTTCCAATGTTTTAAGTGGTGAGGCTTCCAAAGGTTATGGAGCCAACTATGAAATTTCTTAAAAAGGAAAAAAAAAAATTATATTCCACCATGAATACAAATGTCGGCATGAAAAGGTCATCATTTTTTATGTCTTGACTTCTTTTTAGTAAACTAATTGCAAGTTGCTTTGTTAAGAGTGGTAGGGTCACATGTAGGATTAGTAATTTTATAATTTTAAATGGATTTGTTCTTGGGTGTGCTTGGCTACATATTGGGGGTTTACGTTACCATCTTCTACTATGTTGTGATGATGTGAATCCACCTGAAAAGTAAAAATTTGGAACTTATTTGTGTTAAAGAGGAAAAAAATATATAGTTTATTTAAATTGACAACTCATAATTTTTGGAGATATAGCATACCAAGTTATAGAGGCTAAAATACCGCAATGGAAATGCAAGACCTCCAAATCATTAAAGATTACAAACTAGAATTACATCTATTCTAGTTACAATGAGTATTTCTAATACCTTTGCTTTGCGCACTTATGATAATATCTATTAGTTGTAGCTAAATGAGTTGTAATTGTTTGGATGTAGGACATATGGTGGTCAAATGAAGTTGTGTACAAAATGTTATATGAAATGGATGTGGGAGTATTATGTGGATGCTACAACAGGTAAGAGATCATCATTAAGCTTCAATTTCTATTTTTTAATTTCGCTCATAAGTTGAAATTTTGATTTCTAGTTTCCATGGATCCAACCTTAATGTTTCATCCTCAAAGGTAATACATGTTTGCTGAAATACCAGATGACTACAAATAGATATAGACTATAAATGGTCGGGTGGGTATTTTTTTCTTCTTCTGGAATTGACATAACTATATCTTTGATAGTCATCTTTGTTTGTTCGGTTGTGCAAGGACAATTAGATGGAGTTTGACAACACATGCAGCTAGGGAAGTGGATTGGAGTGGGACAGCAAATAGAACAAATGCAGCTAGGGTAATTGTTTTTCGAATTTGACATAAATATATCTTTGATTTTGTTTTTCATCTTACCTTTTCCGATTGTTTTTTGTTATTTTGATACTGATTAATGGTGGAATATTCTCAAGGGAAGTGGATTGGAGTGGCCAATCCTGCAATGAAGGGATGCACCATGGGAGCGGTATACAGTTTCACTAACCACAATTGCTTGTGTTGATGAAAACAAGTATCATGTTGGAACAGAAACATAATAATAAGAAGTAGAAACAAGAAGGTGTTCCTTAATAGCAATGTAGTATTAGGTTATATAGTTAGGGAAAACCTCTTAATAACAATGTACAATCAGATCCCCTTAATACCAATGTATGACAATTTTTTGACATGATGTTATTGGATGAATTTGATTGTTTTGGTATATATTTGTTTCCATATTTTCGTATTATGCGTAAATAAGTATCGTAAAGACGTGTCGTAAATGTATATCGTAAATGGTTGTTGAAGTTTATGACACGCAAATGCATGTCATCTTCATTTATGACAGAGGCTTTAATGATACGCAATGCGTGTCCTAAACGCGCGTCGTAAGGTTATGACACACAAATGCGTGTCGTCTTCCTTCATGACAGGGCCTTCCTTGATACGCATTGCGTGTCGTAAATGAGCGTCGTAAATGTGTGTCATAACTGCGCGTCGTAAATGCATGTCGTCTATAGACGACGCGCAAAAGCGTGTCGTCTCTCGTTATGACAGGGCCTTCCTTGACACGCATTTGCGTGTCGGCTGAGCGTTTTATGACACGCATTGCGCGTCGTAAAAGGCTGTTTTTCTAGTAGTGTATTCATATATCATAACAAATATGTATGGATATCTTGGGGAAAACTTACTTGAGCTCGGCCGATCACACGCATCACACACCTTGTTTTTCTCAAAACCCTTAATTTTAATTTTTGAAAAATTGTTTTCTTTGTAAAAAATTTCCAAACCCTCGATTTGAGTCCAGACACCCCCGAAGGTGTGTCTGAATCCCTCAACCCAAGGCTCTGATACTAACTTGTAACATCCCAAAATCCAAGACCAAAAATTTCATTTTGACTTTAATAATTCATAAAACAGATTAGTGAAAACATCATTAAGTTATCTCATATCATAAAATCCCATAAGTCATATGTCTCAACATACGTCATAAAAATGTCAGAGTACAAATCCCAAGAACATCATAGTGCGGAAAATCGTGGTGTGATGCGCTGCTATCATGCCGGCTCCTTTCCCTTCGAAGAAGAAGGACCTGAAACTAAAAATGAAAACTGTAAGCACAAAGCTTAGTGAGTTCCCCCATGATACCACATACCATACCATGCACATACTTCCAGTCATATCTAGGTGCATGGCCTACCCAGTTAGGCATATCTGGGGTGGCCGACCTACCCATGTCAAGCAAATCTGGGGGCTCGACCTACCCTGTCAGGCATATCTGGGGTGACCGACCTACCCATGTCAAGCATATATGGGTTCTGGACCTACCATGTCAGGCATATCTGTGGTGCCCGACCTACCCACCGGTTTATCTCAACCGGCTACGGGGACTATTTCACCCCTACCCCTACCACATAATGCATAACATAACATACTGTCAGCCATATCTGGGGTGCCCGACCTACCCTCCGGTTTAACTCAACAAGCTATGGGGTCTAACCTACCGCTCTTACCACTATCACATAATATCATAGCATACTAGCACATAAAGCATAAAAGATAGTGGCATACCAGACAATTATCACAAAGACAATCAACTCAGCTATAATCAACAACTAGTGGACCGACATTGGTGCCTTCGACCCACTTCTACTGGAAGGTAACTCACCTCGATAATTGGGAATAGCTGCAAATACTCCTGCTCTGAAATCAACCCCTCTCAGACTCCTACACATAAACATTTCCTTTAATTACCCTATTCATACTCATAACCCCCTTAAGGGTCAACTTTGGTCAATGTCAAAGTCAAAGTGAACATCCTGGTCAAAGTCATCATCCTGGTTGACTCAACTCGCCGCGTAGGTCCATCAACTCGTCGAGTTTCATGAATCATAAAACCTTGAAATCGCGATCCAACTCATCGTGTTCTATCGCAACTCGTCGAGTTCATCCTTATCCATAGAATCGCGACTTCTTTAATCAACTCGCCGAGTCATCCTTGAACTCATCGAGTTTTTCCCTTTACAGAATCGGGATACTTCGACCCAAATCGTCGAGTTCCTCTATGAAGTCGATGAGTTCTTTAGTCTGTTGAGCCACCTTAGTAGATTAAGTTCTTATCCTTCAGATCTAAGCCCCATACTTCATCTACATACTGAAAGTGTCCTTTTAAGGGTAAACTTTCCAACTTTACCCATTAATAGCCTTACTTAATGGGTTTAGCTCAAACCCTAATACATTAAGACCTAGATCTTGATCCAAAAGCCATAATACTTCAAACTATAGCATAAAAACTAAGATCTAGACCCTAGATACCATAGGAATACGTAAAGTCCCTGACTTTCTCTCCATGCACCTTCACCAGCTCCACCCTTTTGTTCCTCAGTTCCTTCGACTTCCGGTCTAGGATAACCACAGGCCGCTCGATATAATTCAGGCTGTCATCAACCTGGATGTCCTCCAAAGGTACCACTGCTGAATCGTCCACCATGCACTTCCGCAGCTGGGAGACGTGGAAAGTGCTGTGGATCTGACTGAGTTCGGCTGGCAGGTCCAGCTGATATGCCACCTTGCCCACCCGGGCTGCAACCCTAAACGGTCCAATATACCTGGGACCCAACTTGCCCCGTTTCCAGAATCGGATGACGCCCTTCCACGGTGACACTTTCAGGAGAACCATATCCCCGACCTGGAACTCCAGGTCTGATCGGCGCCTATCGGCATAACTCTTCTGCCGACTCTGAGCAGTCTG